GACCGCAATGCGCAGGCGCTGCCGCCGCCATTACCGCCCCGGGTTACCCAAAGCATGCTGGGGCTTGTAGTCCCGGTGATGGCGGAAAATCCCCCTTTTCTTCTACTGGGCTTCCGGCCCTTGAAACTACAAGTACCAGAAGTGCTCTGCGCTTGCTGTCCCGGATTTTGTAACAGCGCAGGGGTTTATAGGAATTGTAGTTAGGAGCGATCCGTCCATGGATTGCCCTCGAGTAAGCGTAAGCAGGATTACTGTTACGCCAGCTGTGGATCGTTTAATTACGTCCAATTATTTTTACACCCCGATCTTTGCATTATTTATTTGGAAGGAAGTGTCGCTAGATGCTGTAGGACTTCCTACTGAGTGTGAATTAAGTGCAATTTAGGGGGTTGTGCTAAATGATAATGGATGGGCTGTCGTACTAAAACGATGGCAAATTTGTTAGGGACAAGTTTTAAGTATTAAAACAAGTATTAAGGACAAGTCCAATTTATGTAAAAGAAAAGTAGCAGTAGGTTAGGTAGGATCCTTCTTTGGATAATATGTTGATATTCCAACACGATGAGATTTTCCTTGCTACTGTGTGATAATTAAGCCAATACTAGTAGCGTCCTCAAAATTGCCTCACAAATCTACAAGCTAGGTATATCGTTATAATAAAAACAACAGCGAGGTTGTTGGTCCTAAAACAAACGTTTAATTCCATAAACTTCAGTTGTTAAAGTTGATATATCTAATAAAGTGGACTCTGATCCATCAAGTATTACATATGTGGTGAGTACCACAAGACACTTTTTCCTACAATAATCTAACTTAGCCATACCTTGACAAATTTATGCCACAATATTTCATCTTTATTATAACATATTTTATGACAATATTTGATTACTCATATGATTACTCACAGAGAAAATCTATGTGGTTGTTAACAGTCCACAAGGACTTGATGGCACATAATCATATGGTTACTATTTACATTGCAACTTATATATACAAAATAGTTTACAATTCTTATTTTAGCCCTACAAGTAAGGTGGCATGAGTCAAAACTTACATTTAGCCTCTTCCAATAAGCATATCATGTTATTTGAATACTGCCAAGTTCCATACATATTTCCTTGAAAAGTAACTCATGCTATATGTATTGGGTTTAAAATATGCATATGTTTGAGATCTTAAACTGGGATGTTTTGTTTCATGGACATTAATGTGTTTTTTTCCCCTTAAACATTTTGTTTGATTTATTTCTAAGAAAACATGGTTAGGATTGAATTATTTTCTAACGTCTGGGAAAGGCTTTTGATATCTGTAGCAACCTTTTAAATGTAGTTTTCTTTAACTATGACAGTCAAGCTTTCTTGAGCCTAATACCCTCCAGGATACTAGGTTAAGGAAAGCTGATCATCATACTTAATCTCATCCTACTTAATCTTTATTGGAGTCTAGGAATGCATGGTTCACATAGAATGCTAAACCAAACCATTTGCTGTTATATGGACCCAACCACTATTGTTTGTAAACTATATTTGGGCATGATGTGTGAATCAGGGTATAATACTGAGCAAGCTATATATACTGCAAAACAATTGTACTTTATTTGGTAAGTAAACCTAAACAATATGAGAAATGAATTGCTGTGCTATATTTGGCTATTATCCTGTTGGGAACAGGTCAAGGATACATTGTATTTATTTATTTATTGAATTTCTATATTGATGAATTGTATAACTCACAGTGGTTTATAATACTGTAATTAGAACAATATACAGTAAGAAAACAATGATCATTCATAAATCCGAAAAGGAAAAAAAATCAGTAAGAAATATCTAAATAAATATAACAACACTGGGTGCGATCAGCGTAGGTAGCCTTAAGTACTAAAGGCCCTGTGATTCCATTTTTATTGCTTTACAGAATAATGTTAATGTTTTTGCCAGTCTATAACTAAGAAACACTCTCCCTGAGCCCCAGTTATCTCACTTTGCATGGTGGGGATAAATAATTTTTCCTGTTGAGATGAGCACGCTGGCTGCAATGGTTCTGCCTGGAGAAATCAATTCTGAATGTACCTAGGAGCCAAGCCATGGAAGGCTTTAAAAGTCAAATGAACAGTATCTGGAAATCTATTGGCAACCAATACAGCATCCGCAATATTGGTATAATATGGTTGAAACAGCTCTTAACTGCTAGTATGGAGGCAGCTGCATTTTGCACCAATTCCGTGTTTCAAAGATAGCCCCAGGCACAGCATATTGTACTAGTCTATCCTCATGGTGATGAGGGCATGAGTTACTATTTCCAGGTCCTTTCATCGTAGATATGACCACAACTGGCACACCAGGCAAAGCTGGTGAAACTATACTTCCTGGTCCTGTAGATAGAATAGAACCACCATCACCACCACTAGTACCCCTCACTGTTAGCTTCTTATTTACTATATTTGTGGAACAACCAAAGTACAAGGTCACAACAGCTACCAAGATACTAGGTGAAATAGCAGAAGGACATGTATAATTATTTGGAGCCAATATGGGACATCACAAACTGATTCTCTTCTCCATGATGATTATCCCATTATTTTAAAAAAAGCAAACTACTTTCTATTGTACTGAAAGATTAGTGGTGAAGGATGAATGGAGCAGGGATGTGACCCTCTTTTGTTGATGCTGGGATCTATAAGCATAGGATCATGGTTTGGGTGGATAGAACATGGTTTTACCTCAGTAAGAATTTTATTATTGTTATAAATTGGTATGGTGGAAACCCCCATCCCTTTCTCACAAACATTGCACAGATGCTCCAGTATTTAATCTACCTGTTGCTGAATAGTCACATTTAACTGAAGAACACTGCCGAAATAGCAAGGGTTTTAAAAATTTGATTAGATGGGGTAGAGAACTCACATTCATTATATATACCTGCATCTTCACTTTGCCTTATAATACACTGATTGACCAAACAGGTTTATCAGGGCAAAAGGAAAAATTAAAATGGTCCTTTAAATAAAGAATAGTTAATTTGTAAGAGCAACCACAGGTTGCCTATCCCTATTCTATAACAATGTATGTTGCTTAAAATGAATTGCTTTTAATTACATTTATCTGCACTTAAAAATATAACTATGGTTGGCATTGCTTTATTCCATATCTAGTACTTTTGTAAATTGACAGTATAACTATTGGCAGTATATTTAAAATTATGTGTTTGAATGGAAATAGGATTCTTGATTACACCCATTTTTCTAGCTTCAAAATCTGACTGTAGAACAGTACCTATTTTTTAAAAAAGTCTGATTAATTGTGCATTAAAAATATATTTGTTTTGTTGAGAGGTGTCCTGTTTAGCAAAAATGCAAAGCAAATAAAGATTGTGAATTCATTGACAGGCATACTAGTAGTTTGTTTTCTGCTTTGTTACCTAACTTTAACAGATGTAACATACATAATTAATTTTTACCCAGTTCCTGATGTGCAGCATGCCATTACACATGGTATTTGATCATGAAAGCTAGATAATGGCCTGTTAGTTTTTCTAATAAAATATTTGTATCATATACATCAATTCTGTATTTTGTTTCTTTGATGATGAAAAATCAATTAAGAAACCTTGGTATATTTTAGTTGCTATTATGTTAAAGTACCAGACAAATGAAGTTAAAAGTTGTGGTTTGTGTACTACTTATAACAACTTTATAAATGTTCCTTATTTATAAATAAGATATTAAGGAAACATTGAAAAATAAAATTCGATATAGAGAGGAAATAAACGTCAGGTACAGACAGCTACGTCTTCCTACCTCTGCTACCATTTCCCATTCCCTTCGTATTTGCCAGGCTGCGTGTTCTCTAATTTGCCCTCCCCATTGAGTCCAGGACACTCAGAACGGGCTGCTTTTCTTTCCCATTGACTTTCCATTGTAGAGCTTTGCAACAAAAAGTAGGATCCAAACTATGTTTTCTATCGTCCAATCAGAATCACCAGCTTCACTGCAATTGTAATTGGTTTGCTCCAGCCCATGGTGACCAATCATCGTGCAACTTTAACAACCAATCGGGTTTCGAGCTTTCATCCAATCGTATGTAGGATGCGGGGAAACTGCCTTTGTATCAGTTAACGTCATGACGCCGGCGAAAGTAGATGCCAATAGCTCCGCGCGCCGCGTATCTGTATTGTGATGTCATGACGTTTTAGGTTCCCTCCCTCTATAAATACAGCATCCCAGCAGAGGGAGGGGACAGTTACGGTTTCCCCGAAAGAAGTGTAGGACGTATTAATCGTGTAATTACAGCGGAAGTGTTTTTTTTAAAGGATTTGTTCCTGAAAGAGGTGAGTTTCGGCTGGGAGAGAGCGGAGTACAATGAGGCTGGGGAAAAGAGACTTCTCGCGCTTTCGGGGGAGCGTTTTGTGACAAATGGGTGGAGGAAGATCGGGAAGGCCGCTTTGTTCCGGGTCCGTCGCTAAGGGAGGGCCGCAGCCTTACGTCCTTGGCAGTTACCCTGCTGAGAACAGCGGGGAGCGAGAAGTCGGGTTTCCTCTCTAGCGTCGCGCGTGGGCAAGCGAGAGGGCAGTTCCTGGCCCTGCGCCGCGCGGGCTGTCCCTCCTTGGCTGCGTGCCCGCATGGAGGGCAGTCCCGACATCTGCCGCTGCCGTTCGCCTCCCTCCAAAGCGTTTCCGTCGGGAGGGAGCCGAGTACAAATAGATGGAGCTTGAAGTGTCAGAAAACCTTCTTAGTCCGGATCGACGCTCGGGAATCTTGAGGAAGATGCCCTCTCGTCCATCGCTTCTATTTTTTCTTTCAGAAGAGTAAAGAAAAATGGCCCGTACCAAGCAGACTGCCCGTAAATCCACTGGTGGCAAAGCTCCACGTAAACAGCTGGCTACCAAAGCTGCTAGAAAAAGCGCCCCCTCTACTGGTGGAGTCAAGAAACCTCATCGCTACAGGTAATAAGACAAAACAAAACCCTGGAATGTGTATTTTAGGACAACAGCCAAGCTGATCTGTGGAAATAAAAGGATTAGAAGGGAGGGGCGTATGTTGTAACAAAATTAGCCTATGTTACTATGATTTTTGTGTCAGTAGTTTAAACTATAATAAATGTCTAGGAGAGCTCTTGTAAGAGCCCTGTCAACCTTATCTAGATTCTATAATATATTTTCACTTCTTTGAAACTATTTTGGAAGAAGACTCATATTTAGAAATTTCCAGAAATTCTTATGTTCTATAAACATTGCCATATTCCTTTTTCTTTCATCTTCAGACCTGGTACTGTGGCACTGCGTGAGATTCGCCGTTACCAAAAGTCAACAGAACTTTTGATTCGCAAGCTTCCATTTCAGAGGCTGGTAAGGGAGATTGCCCAGGACTTCAAGACAGACTTAAGGTTCCAGAGTGCAGCCATTGGTGCGCTGCAGGTATGAACCTATTCAAGAGCTACTGTTCTTATATGTGGGGAAAGGAATAACATGTCCCTGTAGATTAATAGTGTCTAACCAATGTCTTGTCTTTTATCTTTGATGTAGGAGGCTAGTGAAGCCTATCTGGTGGGTCTCTTTGAAGACACAAACCTGTGCGCCATCCATGCCAAGAGAGTTACCATTATGCCCAAAGACATCCAGTTGGCTCGTAGGATACGGGGGGAGAGGGCTTAGAAGAAAGCAGTTTTTATGGTGTTTTGTAGTAAATTCTGTAAAATACTTTGGTTTCAATTTGTGACTTTTTTTGTATGAAATTGTTTATAATATGTTACATTTGTACTTAAGTCATTCCATCTTTCACTCAGGATGAATGCTAACAGTGACTGTTCACACAAAACTCAGTGATGTGAGCCCTGTCGCTCAACAGTGACAAGTTGCTAATATGCAGAAGGGATGGGTGATCTTTCTTGCTTTTCATGCATGTTTCTGTATGTTAATGACTTGTTGGGTAGCTAAAATTGTAAGGTACTAGAATTGATATAAATGTGTACAGGGTCCTTTTGCAATAAAACTGGTTATAACTTGATTCAAGTGTTTAACAATTGGGGCTGTTAAGTCTGACCATACATCACTGTGACAGAATGTGGACTTTCAGAAGGGTAAAGTACAAGTCTTAACCACAGTGTAACTTACAGTTTCCTAAAAACGTAAACCTGGCAGCTATAGAATACACTATGTGCATTTATAATAGCTATTTTATATATTGTAGTGTCAACATTTTTAAATTAAATGTTTTACATTCACATGAGTCCTGTCATTGTTGTGGGAAAAGTAGCACTGGGTTTATGCTTAAATCAAGTTGAAGCATGTTTGTGCTTTGTACTTATCCCCAATTGCAGTAATGATTTGCAGCAATTATATAACATAAGTAGGTGAATAGTCTTCCTGATTTGACTCCTTATGCTTGCAGAGTAATTTAGGCAACTAGGAAATGCTACTCCATTTCCTAGCTTACAAAATTATTTCAGCCTTGTTTCTAGACTAATTAGGTGACTCATGCAAATGAAACTAGATAACAGCAGTCTAGCTTTCTGTGCTGCCTCTTAAAAAATAACCTGTTCCAGATACTTCAACCTATTCTTTGAGGGTCTAAGTTTACGAATTGTTTTTAGGATTCTGCCTTACCTGTTAGGTAAACCATAGTGAGTCTTTTGAATTTAATCAAAATTACAAAGTAGCATGCTGAGAAACTGCTGTTCTCAGCTGTTTGCCTTGTTCCACCGAGCTGGTCTTGTTTTTAGTGTAGATATTAGCTTGTGCAAACAATTTATGGCTTCAGCTTAATTTTATTCCATTTTTAAAAGTGTCAATGTAAACATTGTGAAAAAGTTGAGTCTTCAGTTATGATTTATGTGAAACAATTGTATCTGGACAGAATTTCAATCTGTACCAAGCGACTCCATAATCCAAGAGTTGACCCATCAAGATATCACTGATTGAAATTAGACTTTTGCAGGCCAATGAGGCTCCAAAAGTAGGTAGAAGCCCAGCGGCAGAGCATCACATCTGTCAGACAAACCATTCTGTGTGCTTAAATCCAGCAGCTAAAGAAACAAACACAGTTTGTCATACCTGAAATTTTTTTTCTGACACATCACAGATTGCTTACTGCTGTATTCATAAAAACCTTCATGCTAGATGCATAACTGCTAGCACTGTTTAAGAGCCATATCTGTCTGAGGGACATTCTGGATTTTAGTTCATCTAGGAATGTTTAGTCCAAATTTTAGATTTGATTAATGAAACTCAAATCAATCCAAGTTTTGAAATCTTTAGACATCAAATACTATAGGACTACGTTATATTACTAATTGCCTTGGTCTATTTTTTTTATTTATTTCATAGTTAGCCATCAAGCCTTTATTGAGGAATCTGAAATGTAAAAATAGATTTGTTAGAAAGCCTAGCCAAAGTGATAATTATATCAAAGAACTATGAGCTTTATCCTGTATATATTTGCATATAACTTTAGATTGCCTTAAAAGAGTTTCATTAGTGCAATAGGACTCAGCCTACCCCAACCCATGTATTCTGGAGAATGCCTAAATGGAGGGAAGTTACAGAAAAGGTAAAACTCTGAGGTATAGAGTAATACAGAAAACCTTACTACTTACCACTGAAACATTCCAAAGCATATATCCTTACCAATTCTTTTTATGATCTCCTCACTTTCCTTTTCAGAATTTGATTCAAACACTAGGCAGTCAAAAGTGCTATTTTCTGGAGAGTCAGGTGAAGCTCTATAAAGTAAAGATGGTAACTTTAGATACCCAATACATTTAAGACACCATATTCTAATTGCCCCTAAATATAGCATGTCCTCTAATGAGTCTAGGTGACAAACCTTAGTAGGCTGCCAATAAAATGAAGTACTCCTCACAGTGCTTTCATGCAGATAGCCTAATTAATCTTGGGTGTGAGCTAGTTTATCAACAATCCAATGTATTCTAGAAGATACCATTCTATGTGGAAAGGAACCTTTAATCACTAAGAGAAGATTTTTGGTAGAATATGTAACAGGTAATCAGCATGATTCATAAAGTCCAATAAGTAATTTCCTTAAGATTCCTATATTAGCAAAGGACACACAAGCATTTGAATATTTTTAAGTGATGGATACACCCCCACACTAAGAAATCTACTACTACTATATATGATTAATGGGACTGGTAAATATAGTCCTACAATGTCACCATGTGTGCCTGGTTTTTCAAAATAAAACTTACATGCTACAGAAAGCAAAGAGATTGTTGCTATCCAGACGGCGTCCCACACAGGAAATGTCTGTATAAGAGTAACGGAAAAGAACCTGAAAATGGCAACAATTCTCAATTAAGGCATTAGTCAAAGCTAATTTTTTGGAATTACATTTTTTATTAAATGTCAATCATGACAAAATTAGTGAGTTTAGATCTACTATTTTTTTTTAAAAACCCTAATTCTTATAAACATTTTCAGTGTTTATTTTAAGTATGTTCTGCCACATTATAAAATGTAAAGGCAATAAATTACTGAGAAGGCATGATTGAGCACAATCAGCAAACAAGCATTCTAACCTTCGAAGCAGTTTTCTGTTGAAGAATTACTTCAGTTTCTTTGATATCAAATAAAATGTCCTGAGGAAATAATATTACAATTGTTAATATTGCTATTAATAAGTGACAAAGTGCCCCTAATAGAAACTTAAAATCTGACCTACTGTTTCCAATTTCCCTGTTTTTTTCCTTCCATCCAGACATTATTATAGTGACATAGCTTCAACTGAATCTCTTTACATTTCAGTGTAATTATCACTTAAAGAGCTAATGCAATCATTTCAGCAAATCTCTGAAAAAATAGTAAAAACCAACCCTTTCAAATTTGCACTAATGTAACAGCATGACTTTAAACAGAACGTTCTATCTATATGTAATATGTAACAGTTTCAATTATTACATATTCAACCACAGTAACCTTAGCCAAAGAAAGTGATGAACTTCGACCTATTGACTTAACTTTACCTAGTACAAAATTTTGCCATTAGGCCTTTATCTGGATTAGATAAAACTATACTGAAACAAAATGAGATACAGTCTCATCCTGTTTACACCTGAGAGACCTGTTGTTTTATGAGTATTTCAGAGAAACAAGAGCAACACTTAAATGCTTAGACTGGAAAAGTCTCTTTAGGTGAGCTCAGTGGTGGTAATGGGCAGCTGGCACTGGGCAAAGGGGTTGAGAGTGAACTAAAAACATGATTGCCCCGTCCAATTATTAATAAGATCACATTTCTGCCATATCTCTTAAGATGGCAGAGCAAGAATTAAATATTTTGTGTTGACTTGGTATCCAGATCTTTAAAAACTGCACAGGTATAGCAGCAGCTGAACAACTTGCATTGCCATAGCTACAATACTTGGAAGAGACAAGATGAATGAGCCAGTCCATTTTACACTGGCTGCCAGCACTCACCCATCACATAAATTACAACTAAACCAGGAACAGGCAATTAAGCATCTTCCTTCAGATGTTTTGGATTACCATTTCCACCATTGGTAAACACTGGCTGGGATGATATAAAGCACATTCTATTTATTAGAGTTCTGCAGCTGCCTCTGACAGCTGAAAAATCTTCAAGATGACATCCATTTGAGTAATCTTAAACTGATTTAGAATGAACCATCTAAATTGTATGCTGTAGCATTACATTTGATTTTGATGGATTTTGCTAGTACGGGAATAACTACAGCTTACTGTGGCATTGCCAGAGTGACCTAGATCTGCGTGTCTTAAACTTTTCAACACCATGGATTTTTTTTGTTTTGTTTTAAAAAAGAGGGAGAAAGAAATATTGAAATAAAACATGGTTTTAATTAGGGATATGCAAAACATTCCATGCATGTACCGTTCTGCCATAAACTAGCCAGGACTGAGCGGTCTGCGCCCAGATTAAAAGCACAGATGTTTTGTCCAGGCACTTGGTGCATGCACATCCTGGAAAAGGTTTTCAAGAATGAGACAGGGAAGGGGAGGTACAGTGCAGGGAAGGTTATGGAGCGAGGTGGGTTGCCAGATGGCAGGGTCCAATGGGAATGAAGGTCAGGGAGAGGGGTGAAATGCATGGTAGAGAAGGCTTAGGAGAAGATGGAGAGAGGGGCAGGTAGAGCATGCTGCATTTGGGTGCAAGTATGGCAGAAGCTACATGGATATAAAGGGAAGGAAGGAGCTGGAAAGACTGGCAGATGAGCTGATGCACAACTTTGCAGGAGAGGAGGGGAGGTGCACCAGCCTTGTCCTATTCGTCCCATAAGACTTTTTTCTTGGACTTCTGGGGGAGGTACGGTAAACTGAAGACAGCTCTGTGAAAGCGGAGCTGACAACCGTGGCAAAGACCAAGGAAGTAGTGAGGTTTCTTGGAACTTCTCCGGATAAAGAGAGGACAGGAGATTGCACGCATGCACTTTGGACAGCTGCTCCCCGCAAGGAGAGAGCAGGACAGCAGTCTCCTGTGGGTTTGAGTGCCAGACGACAACGGGACTAGCCACCTTGCTTGCAACCGCAGCAGAGACTTTTAAAGGATGCTAAATTTGGAAACTTCACTTTTGGAAATTGCCCATTAAGTACTTCTAAGTTATTAGAGACCTTCAGAATGACAAGTCTGAAAATGCTGGGTAAGTCTGCCTTTAATCCTGAATGAAAGAAAATTTTATTCATAAGCTTAAAAATTTAAAGAATCTGAAATAAACAGCAAAAAGCTAAGTAAGATTTTGATCCTAGAAAGTTATAAACAGACTAAGGGTCCAGATAAAATTGGAATGTTGAAATTTTTACAATAAGATTTTGGAATTAAGTATAAAGTACAAACAGCTTCTCGTGGAAAATAGATCCTGTTTTGGCTTTTACAAGACATTACATAAAGAATTTAATGATTTCAAAAACTGGACACTAGAGGGGACTAAAGATTTTAGGTAGAGAAAAGATATACAGGCCTGCAAGATGGTGCAAAAAGTTACGACAATAAAAATATTGAAGGAGACTTTTGAAGAATGGAATCAGAAAATAGTAGCCTGTCAGGCCTAGCCCAAGGAACTCCAAGAGACAATGCCAATTCAGTCCAGCTATGTTT